CCCCAAAACCCCAAAACCCCAAAACCCCGCAAAAAGAGAATAGTTCTATCATAGAATGTAAAACTTGTGAGAATAGATTTAATAATAAAGTTAATTGCTTGGATTAATGATGGATAATAAGAAGTCTATATTTCAGATTGATCACGATCTCCTATAGGAGTTTTTCAATAAAGACACAGGCAGCAACTACGGAGGCAATAGTTTTTATGATGAGGAACCTGAGAAGGATAGTTTTATGCGATACACAGGTTTTAATCAAGGAAATTACTATCCATAATTTGAAAATGTTGCATAGCCGACCCCAGCATTAGAAGAGGGAAGTCGGAATGATCTGTCGGCGCCTAATAGATTTACACCGAGCGCAACAGAGTTTAATCCATTATCTTAAAATTATAGTCCATAGTAATTAATTTTATTATTAAATGTATAGAGTATATCCAGGAATTAAGACAGAATCAGAGAACAACAGGCAAGGATAATTTTCATACGAATCGACCCAATACAAACAAGAATTATTACAGAACTAGAATCTTTCTGGAGAAGGAAACGGTAATGGGAAGGGCTCGCGCAGAAAAGACAAAGAAAAAACGAAGAACGTATCCTTTAAGGAAGAGGTTAAGAAATCCAAAACAAAAGTTGACAAAAATCCACCGAAAAAGTAATTGAGCAATGACAGTCTAATGGATGATGATGATTTAGATGACTACGATTCTAGCTCAGATTAATCTAATTATAATATGGGCTCTAGCAAAAAATCTGGCGAAACTTAAGATGGTAAAAGTAAGTTTAACAACCTTTTTCAGTTTTTAACGTAACTATGATATAGAAAAATAAAGAAGATAAAGAGGGGGAGCATCAACAGACTCAAGGCAGAGAAGACTGGAAAAAAATAGAGAGTCTGCAAGAGAGAGCCGTAAGAGAAAGAAAAATTATATCACTACTTTGGAAGCTAAAAATTAAACACTTGAAAGCGAAGTTAATCGTCTTAGACTTATTTTGTAAAATTAAAAGGAAAAGGAGAAGCTTTCCTACTTTTCTCATTTGGACTCAATGGATTAATTACTGACTGGGCGATAAACATTGTATGAAAGGCTAGAGAACTGTGTCAATAGTGGAGGAGATGGCCCTGAGATGGAAAATATTATTAATGCACTTCAGATCAGGACTGGATCTTTTGGAGTTGAGAGGAAAAATCTTGTGAACAATCTGTTCAAAACAATAATCGAAGTTAGCTTTCCTAACTTTGTGAAGTATTTATTTTGGGGTTCGACGCAAAATAAGGGACTCTTTGATGATGATGGAATCATTGATGCTGAAAAAAGAAAAAAGCTAAGCAAGTATCAACTTGAAGAACTAAAGGCCAGAATTGGATTCGAGTAAGATATTTGTTAAAAATGAATTAAAATTTATTTATAGCGAATGGGAATAAATAAACCAACTACTAAATTTGTCTCCCGAGCAATAGTAAAAAATTAAATAAGAGCAGATCAAAATCAATGAGCAGAGGGATAAATTTAAAAAGTATGTATCTAATATCAAATCTTATAGTTTCCATTTTATTCTTAAGGATATTTAAATTATTAACAAACTATTTTATTTAGTATAATTGACACTTTACTGGATCAGAAAAAAGCTCTTTTCAAGGAATCTTCGAAAATGGAATAATGCATGGGCAGACTAAGGTCATATCTTACTACAGAATAAACTGCCAAATTTCTTATCTTAATGGAAAAAGTATTAAATAGTCCATTATTAATGTATTTTAGTTTAAATCGAAGCAAGAGCTAAGTTTATTCAGATTATGGGATATCAAGAAATTAGACAAATCAAGAGATAAATAGATGATTAAAATGTATTCCGTAAACGGAAAAGATTCTGATGATGAAGGGGGATTACCGGAGTCAGACGAAGAACTTATGAACCTTCAGAAAGCAGCAGCAATGCAGGGTGTTAATATGCACGGACAGGCTATACTAAATGCAACGTAGTTTCAAGCGGGCAGTTCGATAATCAATAAAAAGACAGATATGCTGCTAAATTGATGTCTAAGGTTATAAGCAGCTATATTATTATGACTTAAGCTTGAATATAGCTAAATCAACAAATAAACCTAAACCTACCTTCATTCTTGCTTGGTAATCATATCAATAGAATCTATATTTAATAATCACTAGTTTGTCTAAATAGATTTTGTCTTTACTTGATACTTGGGGTTTTGGGGTTTTGGGGTTTTGGGG